ACACACACACACACACACACACACACACACACACACACACACACACACACACACACACACACATACAAACACACACAATCAGTTTTATGTCTGTTGGTCCTTCTTCTGTTGTATGTCCTCCCCATGATTTTTATGTGTCTTTTTGTGTGGTCAACTGAGCACCCTTAAGTAGTGCCAAACAGTCGGTGGTTCCTCGTTTTGAGTGCCTACTGCACTCTTATGGGGGCTGCTCGGTTCGGGATGTCTGTGTTGCTTGTCGGTGATGACAGATGTTCGTCGGAGTGACTCCCTGGCTTAGTGGGTGGTGGGAACCAACAGTCTGCAGGGTTCTATCGTGATGTGAGTAGGTCATGTGCCGCTTTGCTCCGTGTTGGATGTGTGGGCGTCCTCGTCTACGTTCCGCCGCTGCCCTGCTGCCTTTCCCGCTTGCTTCGCGTGTGCTTCTTTGCGGGTTGATGTGTTCGGTGCGCGGTGTGGCCGTGTTGTTGGTGTTGTTTTGCGCTTCGCTGCTCCGCTGCCGTGCTGCTCATCCGTTAGCCGTGCCTTCCGTGCTTGCTGCTTGTGTTCCCTTTAGATTGGTTGTCTTGTTGCTGGCGCCTTTTGCTCCGCTCCATGGTTGCCCAACTGCTGGTTCACTCGCCTTGTCGTCCCCTGCAGTGTTGTTGCTGCTATGTTCCTCTTGGGGACAATCTGCCTTCAACATGGGTCAAAGGGTTCATGACCCAAACCATCAAATACGGGGATTCCGCAGATTGTAGAGGGTTCAGCCTCCTGATGAGTCGGTGCAACTCCGACGAAACAATCTACCATGTTTTGTTTTTTTCGCTTTGTTTTTTTGTTGTTTATTCTTTTGTCTGCCTTGTTGTTGCCACCTCATTCTTCTGCGTATTGCTGTTTGTCTGCCTGCCCGCCTCCCCCTTGTCCTCCACCCTTTGTTCTTTGCTCCGATGTGTCATCCAAGTACCGTGTTGTGTCTTGACCTCAGCCTTGCCGTTTTGTTTGTCTTGTTGTACTTCTTTTACCGTTGGTCGGTTTGTTTTCTGTTTCATGACTTTTGAAAGTTGGGCTTTATAAGTATTTTTTCTATGGGCATCCCGGGCTGCGGGCTCTTTCCCGGTGTTGTGTATAAGCACACCTTCCGACGCATCATGCTGCGACACAGTCGCAAAAGCCTCGCAATAGAAACATAACACACACACACACACACCATGGGATGCAAGTTTGAGGCAATGGGGGGCTAAATTTATATGGTCACATGATTTGATGAGGGCTCAGCGTGGCCGGGAGCACTGCGCCCCGCCCGGTACAGGAATCACGGGAGCACGACGCAGCACGACGTGGCGAGGGCGCGCGCGGAGCGGCGCATGAACAGAGTGGCGCAAAGTAGCGTGATTGGGCAAGGGCGAATATGATCGTGGGGATGAGGGAAGTGAAGCGGCTGGCAAAGGGGACGTGTGCAATGGTGGTGGGAGCAAGGAGAGGATGGGGATGATCAGAGGCGGGGTGTTTCCTTTTGGAGGAGGGAGGAGATTCTTACGTTTCCCAAGGTGTGTCATGCTTGCTGGTGATAAGCAACCGGACTGTTGCCCCCCAGAATAGATGAGGCTGTGTGTTTCAAAAAAAAAAAAAAAAAAAAGAAACCGCGAACTTCAAGCGTTTCAGTAAGCTTGCGGCGGAATACTGTGAGGGCGCTCACTGAGGCGTAAAACGGCGATGGCGTGTGCTGGAGGTTTCGTGGAGGCAAGGTAGGAGAGGGGCGTGCGATGGCTGGTTGTGGGTTGAAGTGGAGTGGAATGGGGATTATGCCGAGGAGAAGGTGGGTGGGGCGAGTGGGGGGTCGATGATGGGGGATTTCCTATGCGTGCCTCTTTACTCCGTCTCTCCCTTTTCTTGACTTAGTGGCCTTCAGATAGTTGGGCAGAGACTCAACTCTCTGTGAGGTCGCGTCAACAAGTTCGACGTGGTTACTCACAACACAATTGCATATGGGCAGTGATAAGGAGGTGATTGTGTCCTACCAAATCTCTTTTGGTCAGTGCAGCTTGCCGAGGGGCTATATTAGCACGGGCTATGGGGAGGCGAATGTGCTCCTCCCGCAGGAAGAGGCAAGGGCTGAGTTTGATCTCTACAACGGCGGAACAGTTGGATTAAGGGACTTTGAGAGTGGAGCGTTACGTGATGGATTGCACAGACTTCAGGTGTTTCAAGGCGACTTCATGCAGCGACGGAAGCTCCAGTAACTCTTGAGGCATGACCTATTTTTGTTGTGTTTGGGTTCTCTATCTTGATTTTTTTTCCCTGAATATGGATGAAAATCCTCAGTTCGTAGTTAATCTCATTTGGTAGTTCGTAATTATTTTTGTTGGATTCACAATCCGATTTTATAATCATTATGGTTCTTTGATACATAATTGATTGTCGAATTAGTTATCTGCCTAGTATTTCCTGATTTACTGTTTGAGCAATTTTTTGAACCTTGGGGTTTTGGAAATCAGAGTCGTAAGTCCTTTTGGACATCAGAATAGATTCTTTATTTTGTTTCTCTATTTGGATTTTCAAATTTTATCTTCATCTCGATTGATTTAATGAATTCAATGCTTAAATTCATGATTCAAACTTCATTTGCATGACTCATAAAAAATTCTTAAACTCGGTTTTTCCCAATTTTAAAATTCGTACTTTAATTTTGAAGATGAAAATCTGAGATTCTCTCTTAAATTTGAAATTCTTACTCGACGTGGGCTAGGTTGGAAAAATTTAGCTCTTACAAAAAAAATTCAAATAAGTGTTAACTTAAACCACCAGTACACGCCCCCCGCCTTGCAGAAAAGTAAACTTGTCGCCACAAGAGAAATTTGAGGCTCGGGGAAGGCCCGGGGGAGAAAGAGGTGGGCCCTGCAGAAAAAGGCAAATGGACTGTTGTTTTGCTCGCCGGTACACGTTCAGTCTGTGACTGTGAAAACACATGCACGAACGAGGTCCAGCTATAGCAAAAAAAAAAAAAAATTGAAACAAAAGGGACAGAGTGGCAGAACGCTAGTCACATGGCGGGCATGCACTATATGAGGGCAGAAAGCCCTCAAACTTCAGGAAAAAGAGCGGAAACGCCCGCTGTAGGCAAGTATGCAGTGATTCATAGGTTATGTATCAGCGTCCATTCTGTGTCTGCATACGGGCGCAGAAAAGTAAAGTGCTCTCGCCTCGTTGGCACCGAAAAGAAAGGAAAAACGAAAAAAAAGAACTTGTTTTTTTCGAGTGCCTGCCCGAGGAGAACAGGTAGTGCTGTGAGAATCCATCTGTGTATTTGGCTTGGGAAATGCACACTATGAATATCGTATGGACCATGTGGCATCACAACTGTCAGAGGACAAACGAGGTGCCATAAGATCTTGCAGACAATCTCGTGTCGTTTGTTTGTTTGTTTGTTTGTTTGTTTGTTTGTTTGTTTTTTTTTTTTTTTTTTTTTTTTTTTTTTTTTAACTTTGTATACGGGAAATCTACTTAAAAGGTAATAGGAGCATCCCTGTTCAGTAGGCCCTGGCGTCGAAGGCTCCATCTATTGGTGGGGAGCTGCACCTGCTGGAAATCGGGTCCAGCGTCCCTTTACAATGATGAAATGTATCTGCTGGGGCCCAGCGTCCTTATGCAGTGGTGTGTATGTATGTGATGGAACACAGATCCAGCGTCCCTATCCATGTAAACTATAGAATCTCAACAACAATCTGAGGTATCAATCTAATCAATCGACACCCTAACCATAATGCGATGTGTACTAGCGATGCTATGATTTATATCTGCTGGAAATCGGGTCCAGCGGCCCCATATCGTGTTATGTAACTATGTAGACTATGGAATCTCTGCAACAATCTGAGGGATCAATACCTTCAGTCGAACCCTAACCATGATATGATGTGTTCTATCACTGATGTGATTTTGATCTGTTGGAACTCGGGTCCAGCTTCCTCATGTCGTGTGTTCTAACTATGTCCAACGGTCAAAAATTGTCTATATACGTCCTTAATCTATACCTATCAAAGTGTAATCACGAAACTCTAAGCAGGATATGATGTATTTGTCCTCCTGCAATCCAACCCCTACTAAGCTTCCCACCACCAATCTCGCGAGGCGATCACCACCCCAGTGTTGATTGGTATTGCGGGCCGGGCAACACCAATCAACACTGCCTATCTTACTCCTAGCCTCTGGCAGACCACAAGAAGCAACTCCATATCGAGGCCAAAAAATATAACAAGGAGGACGTCAGAAAACCAGTTTTTTATGTCCACCCCCATTCCAACCGCGTCTGTCTGCAATATCTCACCCCTCATTCTGCTGCCATGGACGTCGCCCCCTCCGTCGTTAATATTTTTTTTTTGTTATTGTTGTAGTAGTTGTTGTTGTTGTTGTTGTTGTTGTTGTTGTTGTTGTTGTTGTTTTTGTTGTTGTTGTCGTCATCGTTGTTGTTGTCGTCGCCACTATCACCCGCATCCATCTGCTGTATCACTTCCCTCATGCGGCAGTCGTGAATGTCACCTCCCCCATCATCAGCGTTGTTGTTGTTGTTGTTGTTGTTGTTGTTGATGTTATTGTTGTTGTTGTTGTTGTTGATGATGTTATTGTTGTTGTTGTTGTTGTTATTGTTGTTGTCACCACCTTTATCATCCATGTCCATCTCCAGCATCACACCCTTCATGCTGCTGCCGTGGACATCGCCCCCGCCCTCGTCACCGTCGTTGTTGTTGTCGTTGTCGTCGTTGTTGTTCACACCATCGTTGTTAATGTTGCTGTCATCCTTCCCACTGCCTTCGCCCATTTCGCCCAATCCCAATCCCTGCGCACCATCGTTTTTGTTGTTGTTGTTGTTGTTGACGTCTCCATGATCTTCCGCGTCCACCTGAAGTATCACTCCCATCATGGTGCAGCCTTGGACATCGCCCCCCCCATCATTGTTGTTGTTGACATCATCCCCATCCTTGATGTTGCAGTAGTTGATGTTGTTGCTGTTATTTATGTTTTCGCCATAATCATCTTCACTTGCCGGCAATCCATACGGATACTCCAACTGATTGCATAGATCTCGCCCCAATGTGAAGAGGGTTCGACAAGCAGCCAACCTGTCATCCGCCCGCCTCCAGTCGATGTAAACATCGAGCCGGGGATCCGGCCCCTCCTCCAGTTCCCACAAGATGTCTAACAACTCCTGAATCCTATCTTCCAACCACTGGTCCATCGAGATTGCTCCCCCATCGATCTCCCCCCCTTCTTGCTGCCACTGCATAAGCAACCCCATTGTCGTTTGCATCTGCTTGCATCCCTCCTCCAGTGCGGTAATCCATTCTTCTACTTGATGTTGTCGCTCCTCTTCCAAATCCATCTCTCCCCCCATTAGCTGCGCCACTCACACAGTTTTACTGAACCCCTTATAATCCCACGGTTGGCGCTACCCCTGCTGAAGTGTCACGGGACGTCAGTGTCACCAAACAACAGGCGTCATGTGGCCACAAGCCACGTCACACCTATCGGGCACATGCGCAGGCCCAACAGCCGGGGAGTTGTTCTCTCCAGGCGTTAGTCGAGCCGGGGTGACTGGGCCCTACTGATCTGCCGGCGTCGGGGCGCTAGCGCTAGCGCAACTCGGCCTCCATCAGACAATCTCGTGTTGTAAGGTCCTCTGCTTTATTTTGTTTTCAGCTGTATGGGAAAATTATATACTACTGCCCGCTCGTTTTGCGAACAGGCAGCCATTCATGATGAGGCGCCTGCATCTGGCACCCGATATGTGCTACATGCGGGTGCTCTCTCATGTGGGTGTTTGGTTGGGTGTCAAAGAGTGAAAACAGCGGCCTCCTTTTCATTCCATCGCCTGACAGCAGGTCCAACACAGAGGCCGATACCGGTACCACCCCAATTTTCCAAGAGCTGGTGCCCATGTGACGCGCAACCTCACGCCCTGTGCTGTCTTTCGTTCGGAGTGTTAGCTGTGCGGAAAAGAGGCCCAGAAAAACAGCAAGAGGGGGTGTGCCAAGGATTTTTGGAAATTGAGTGTGGGAACACAAACGGAACTGAAATCCCCTGTGTTGGTCCGATGAAGCAAATTGATCGTTTTCGCGCGTCGCGGAATGCGCGCGTGGGCAAGGCGGGAAGAAAGGGAAAGATCCAAATTCAATCCAAAAAGTATTGTCGTGCCTCCCACCGGGCTACAACCCGTTGTTTAGAACAGAAAGGCTTGGGCACGCTTCGCGTGTCTCGTTTTCGTATCAAGTCTCGTCGTCGTTCGCTGGTTAGTTCCGAGTCTGACGTGGAGGGTCTCAGCCGCGTGGCTCTTTCTTTATGCTCGTCTTCGCTCCGCACACGGTAGTGAAAACCCTTGGACTCGTAGCGCTCAAAACGCTTACATTCGGTGCACAGAGTGCGTGGCCAGTGGGGTTCTACTGCCGTCCACGGAATGACGATCAACTCGTTAAATGGTAACAATACCGAGTAAGGTGGAAAGTGTGTATCGATAATAACAAACCCGGCTTCTACGAACCCAGAACAACGGCTGGCTGGAGGGAAGTAATACTGCCCGCCGATTTGTGCAACGACTTCTCGTACTTCCCACTCACATACACGTGTCCTTTCCTCGCTGTAAAGAAAAGGTCGCGTTGGGATGGGAGATACGGGAGGCTGGCGCCCAATCGAAGGGTACTTGTCAGTCCACATGTCAATCAGTCACAAAATATCCTGAGACGTCATTAAGAAAAAAAAGCGATTCGCGCGTCCCCATATCAATCTTTTTGACACAAGAGAGAGAGAGA